CATAAACCATGAATTTTAGCAAGTCACGTCCCCAATACTTTGCTCCGAGTCGCGTGACTAACAAAAGTGATTTTGCGTCTGTTAATATCTTGCGGAAGACTTACAAGATTTACAACACATACATGTACGCACAGAACACACACACACACACACACACACACACACACACACACACACACACACACACACACACACACACACACACACACACAAACACTCACACACACACACACACACACGCACACGCACACGCACACACAAACATACACATACACACACACACACAAACGCACACACACACACACACACACACACACACACACACACACACACACACACACACACACACACACACACTCACACACCATACACACATGTATTTTATGCCGTTCCCTCGCCGAAATCAGCCCCGGCCAACGCAAGGCAGGAGCAGGATCACGAAACACCGTAAAAACTTCACGACTTCTGCCTTCGCGATTTGCATAAGGGAACCGCGGCCGTAAAGAGACAAGTGTTAACCTTTTTCATTTGACTTTATTCTAAACTCCATCCACATAAAAAAAGAAAGAAGAAAAGAAGAAAAAAAAGATAAAAAAGAAAGGAAATATTTTACAGCGAGAGGAAAGCAAGAAAGAATCTCTCCTTTCCGAAGAACTTTCCAACTTTCCATAATCCCGGATGGAGCTTCGAGCAGAGCGAGACTGAGACGAAGCAGATTCGAATTCTCTTCGGAATCCGATGGAAATAAAGATCCAGACTATTATGTGTAGGCGCTTTTAATAATCTCTCCCCGAATGACGATATGATCTTGAAATACTTTCGCAGAAATCCGATAGACGTAGATATCGACGAGGTGGATGTTATCTCTCGGTATTATTTTCATTTCCACGATATTTTTTTTATACAGGCAGGAGCATAGAAGTTCTCATTTGTAATAAAAAAAAAACTGTAGAATCGTACTAATATCGTGCGTTTTTTCTTCATATAGATTCGTTTCTTTTTTTTTTAATAACGATTAAGAGTTTTTTCTTCAAAGTTCATGTCTGGTAAGATGTCTGGTAAAAGTCATTAATACTGAGATCTAATTTTCAGTCTAGGAAGAGAACATTGCGTGGAGATACGTACACATGTATATCGAGATTACGTAAGCACGCGAGTCTGTGCGCTCTTTAGTTTTATTTTATCATCTGCCCATTTATGTACGTATACGCATGTACGTCTATATAACCGTAAAAGCACACATCGCCACAAGCACATACACGGGGATATATACACACACTCCACCGCGGAAATAATGGGCCTGTGTTTCGTTCCGGACGAAATCCATTTTTCATGTAAATACCTCCCGGCTAGGAAGTAAGCCCCGAGACAGAGAAATTATTCGGCAGAGGCTGATGCCAATGGCTGCTGCAGAGAACGGCCTCGGTTGACAGATTATTCAGATTACAGAAGCTGACTGGAACTGTGGCGGCAGACTGGGGCATTTAATGTGCGTGTCGGAACTTACGTCTTTGCTGGATCACTGGCTTGGAGGTTTTAAACAAACATAAGCACACATGCACACACACACACACACACACACACACACACACACACACACACACACACACACACACACACACACACACACACACACACACACACACACACACACACACACGCACACACGCACACACACACAACGTGTAGGATTCATGCTGAACAAATTGCAAATAGAATAACGAAGGGATGAACAAGAAAACACACGATTATACCGTAGTCCTTTTCGTGTGTTTTCTTGTTGTTCCCTTCGTTATTTCATTCACACACACCCATAGATACCCACGGACACACGTACAAACCACTATTTTAGAGCTAAGAGAGACCAATATCAACCAGAAATAACAACCAAACACAGAGAATCAGATACACACAATACATTCCTCGAAATGTATATATATCCGCACGTACACATCCACACTGCCTAGACCACTACGGAATCAAACAGAGGAACAGACCACCGCGAGCGAGTGCAGCAAACACGTATGAGTTCTCCACAAGCCCTAACTCTCGGCTACTATGATTTCACACATACTGCAAAAGCACCAACAAGCCGTAACATTGCTAACTATATCCAATTACGACCATACCCACCATACAGAACAAGGAACCACCCGATCACGCGCTGAGGAACAGGACAATCTCACGAGAAACGGGGCTCTGTAGGAATGGAACTTTAACGCGCGTGTGTGGCCGTTCAGTGGGGATCTTTGGCACTGGCTCATACCCATCGAGAGGCCAGCGTTGATTTGCATGCTGTGTGCTTAAAGCGAGGCGGAGAGGCGAGGAAAGGAGAAAGGACGAAATTGGAGTTGGTATTTAGTCCTGTCACAGCTCGGAAGTTAATGTGCAGAATTCATTGTCGATTATTATTTCAGTAGAAGTAAGTGGATAAATAGATTAATAAATGAATGGATGAATGAATGAATGAATGAATAAATAAATAAGGATACATAAATAAATAAATAAGCAAATAAGATAAAATTATGATAATCATGTACCTCGAAACATACGCAGAGGATGAAGTAGATATAGCTAGATAAATTTGGAAGTGATTTGAGAGAGAGAGAGAGAGAGAGAGAGAGAGAGAGAGAGAGAGAGAGAGAGAGAGAGAGAGAGAGAGAGAGAGAGAGAGAGAAAGAGAGAGAGAGAGAGAGACAGACAGACAGACAGAGACAGACAGACAGACAAACAGATAGACAGAGAACAGACACAGAAACACACAGATAGGTAGAGAGAAGAGACAAAGACATACAGACAAACAGAAACAGACAGCCAAACAGAAAGAGAGCGCGAGAACGGCAACCACGCCTCCCTGCCAAAACATGAGCAAACCACACGAATGAGATGGCCAATAAATCAGCAGTGGACCACATGTCTCACATAAAACCGATATCGACCGGGCCATCGGAGCAGAGCAGCTGGGCCGGGAGGTAAACGCATAATCATTTTCGATGTCTGAGGGCTAGAGTTAAACAGTTCATTTCGTATAGTTAAGTATGCGTGAGGAAATATAGGTGTAAATGTTATGTAGGGTAATGTATGTGTGTTTGTATCTTGATATGTATAGGTGTTTGGTTTAATGATAGACAGTTAGTCATCTAGACGGACAGATGGATAGACAGACAGACAGGTAAGCAGGCAGGCAGAAAGACAGACAGAAAGACAAACAAACTAACTGACAGACAGGCAGGTAAGCAGGCAGGCAGAAAGACAGACAAACAAACTAACTGACAGACAGGCAGACAGACAGACAAACAGACAGACAGATAGGCAGACAGACAGACGAACAGACAGACACAGACAAACAGACAGATAGGCAGACAGACAGACGAACAGACAGACAGGCATACAGACAAACAGACAGACCGAAAGACACAGCTACACACATGTACACATAAATCCCCCCATGAGGCTTCGATGTAAGTATATTTCATGGGTTCGGTTTATTAAGATAATAAACTACTAAATGTTTTCAAAATGCTTCTTAACTTAGTCTGTTGAACAATTGTCTGTCCGATCAGTGAAGAGTTAATGTTAAAAAATCTGACGGGGAATAATGCTGTGAGAATAATAGGAGTCAGCTTATAATGGATGAGATGAATATTACACACACGCGCAGGCACACGCACACGCACACACAGACATATATGTGTGTGTGTGCGTGTATGTGTGTGCGTGTGTGTGTGCGTGCGTGTGTGTGTGTGTGTGTGTGTGTGTGTGTGTGCGTGTGTGTGTGTGTGTGTGTGTGTGTGTGTGTGTGTGTGTGTGTGTGTGTGTGTGTGTGTGTGTGTGTGTGTGTGTGTGTGCGTGTGTGTGTGTGTGTGTTTGTATGTGTGTGTGTATGTTTATGAGCGTGCATGCGTGTGTGTTCGTGTGTGTGTGTGTTTGTAAGGACACATGCGTACGCATTCGTGTGTTTTTGCGTGTGTTAACCCATTGCCGACGGGCATGACGTGTACGTACCTGCCATGCCCACTGTGAGTTACTTGTTTGATTGTTTTTACACATAGATGGCTACACTTGTACTAAGTCACCAATGAGCCAATTACGAGTACTGCCTGTCTCGTCCGTTTACCCTTTTCTTTGATTTACGAAAATATTTTACGTTATCTTATTTTGCCGTTACAAATGTTTATAACATTATTGTAATTATAACGTTTATAATAAAAATAACACCATCGATACCCATACCCCTATTAAAAAAATACGCTTATTCCCGGTAATTCAAGAAAGGTGAAACCAGGAGAGGCTAAGCACCAGCAGAGCTATCTTAATCATCTGCTGACTCTTCGCTTCTCACAATATGCCTTAACCCCTTAAGGCAATTCACTCCGGCATCTCCCCCCCCCCCCCCCGCCATTCCCAGCATCTCTCTCGCCAACAGCTTCTGTCGACTCCCCCCCCCCCTCCCCCCCCGTCGGTCATTAAGCAAACCTCTCTCTCCCTTTGGCTGAACTGTGGAGTGAAGTCAACCGAAATGAACTGAACTACTAGTCTGAAGCGAACTGAAGTGAAGTGAATCGAAATGAAGCGAACTGAAGTGAAGTGAATCGAAATGAAGCGAACTGAAGTGGAGTGAGTCGAAATGAAGTGAACTGAAGTGAAGTGAATCGAAATGAACTGAACTACTAGTCTGAAGCGAACTGAAGTGAGGTAAATCGAAATGAAGTGAAGTGAAGTGAATCGAAATGAAGTGAGCTGAAGTGAAGTGAATCGAAAGGAAGTGAGCTGAAGTGAAGTGAATCGAAAGGAAGTGAGCTGAAGTGAAGTGAATCGAAAGGAAGTGAGCTGAAGTGAAGTGAATCGAAATGAAGTGAACTGAAGTGAACTGAACTGAACCGAAATGAAGTGAAGTGAAGTGAATCGAAATGAAGTGAACTGAAGTGAAGTGAACTGAAGTGAACCGAACCGGACCGACCTAAACTGAAGTGAACTGAAGAGAAGTGAACTGGACTTACTGACGACGGTGAGGTTGACGTTCGTCCTGGTGGAGGTGGACAGGCGGTAGTCAACGCGGCAGGTATACACGCCCTCGTCTTGGGGATGGGCGGGTTCCAGCACCAACGAGGGCGGGTCGGAGATAACGGTGAAGTAGGCACGCCCACCGAGCGTTTCCGGGTCTGTCCATCGCACGCCCGCGGTGAAGTCGCCCACCCTCGCGTCATAG